GATTCATATTTGTTTTTTTAATATATATATATATATATATATATATATATATATATATATATATATATATATATATATATATATATAATTAGATTTAATTAAAAAGAAATTAAGTGTTGAATTCAAGGTAAGACGAAATTTCTTCGGTTATTACACTTAATTTCCAGATGTTCAGAATCAAAGATAGAGTTTCAATCTAGAAAAGAATAGAAAATAGAAAGTCTAGTTCCACGTCCTTCTTCTTTGTTTCTCTGATTATTTCTCTTGTTTAGAATTAGAAGACTTAGAACCGTCTATGAAACTTTTATCAAATTTTATTATTTAATTTTCTAGAAGCAAATCTTAAAAAATGAAAAGTTCTAGAAACCATGAAATGTTGAAAACTATTTGTAGCATTATTTTTCGAAATGATAAAATCAAAGCGGTGAGGCTTCATTCAAATAGAAAATCGAAATGGAAACCAAAAAACGTTGATAAATTTTATGTATAAGAAAAGATGTCGCTTGTCGATACTAAAAAATATAAAAGTAAACACAAAAAATTAATTTTATTGTTTATCTATTACTCCGTATTATTAATAAATAATAAATTATATATATATATATATATATATATATATATATATATATATATATATATATATATATATATATACACACACACACACACTAGCCGTTTACCCGCACCAAACGACGGGTGTAAATTAGTATTCCGAAATTAGTTTCTACACCCGTTTACCTTACACCTGTAATCTATTTAGTCTAATCTCTCGGCACTAATAGTTATATATCGACAAATATTTTCGTTTTAGTGATTAAAGTTTGTGTGGCGGATTATGTGAACGGTTTATATGTAATATCGTGATACCCATGCAATACACTGACCGACAAACGATTAACGAAATTGAAACATACACAATGGAGGTGTTCAAAATGTACGAATCCAAAAAACCTACAAACCATACTCATGTGTTCGCTACCAAATCATATTCTTATTTCTTTTAGGATTGAAAAAAACGAACCAAGAGAATCTTTTATGTATGTATTTTTAATTATTGGTTTTTTGTTAATTAATTTGATAAAACTGAAAATTATAAATGTTTACCGAAGAAATCAACAAAATAATGAATGAAGAAATAATCATGTGGGAATGAAAAACCGATAAAAACCGCTATGACTTGGTGTCATTTTTTTGGACAATGGGTACAATGTTGTTCAATTGCATGAAAGCATTCATTTGATGATACATGTCATGTTGAATAAAACATGCAACCAGCATTCGTTTTCTTTCGGCAACATTGGAATTTAGCGACCATGAATAATTTCTTTTTAATTATGGAGAACGTGTAATATGTATATTCGTCTATCCATCGATTTTGTATTTGTTGGATACATACATGTTTATATTTGTTGGTTACATTATGCCACAATAAATTTGGTCATAATTTGATAATCTTATTCTATATGGTGTTTTTATCTCTTCGTCACCAATAAGTAAATTAAAAAAACATAATAATAATTTTTTCTAATGTACACTAATTTTTCATTTTTATAAGAATTTAATTAAAAAGTGACATCACAATAAATAATTGTGTTTTATTAAAAGGGAAGATAGGATGTTAAATATGGTTAAATTAAACAAAAGAAAATATTTACACGTTTGACAATAAAAAATTGGTACTTTTACTAATTGATCAAAAATAGCTATCCATTTTATTATTATTAAGTTTCAAATTAATTTATTTATCAAAGGCTAATGTTTCAAAATATTGTCTAGTTGTTCAGTGACGGATATCCAATTTGCTACACCTTGATTTAACATCTGTAAGGATTTTGAATGAGTTGATAAATGATAGCTTTAATGCAGGATGTGCTTTGATTTAATAGCTTTATAGATCTTAAATGACTTGATAAATGATGACTTTAATGAGGGATGCATTTTTACTCATCTGATACAAATAATCTATATGGTTTATAGGTGGGATTCATATGATCTTATGTAAAAAAAAAAAAAAATTAAAGAAGCCATAAATACTTTTACTTCCAAAAGTAACCCTTCAAAACTTACGTCAAAATGAGATAGAAACTCAAAAAGCTATGGCATAATTAAAGCATAAGACCCATAAACTTTACCCACAGATTAATTATAGCTTCAATGTTTAGAATTTCTATCCGTTAAACTTCTACATAGCTTGAATAGTAAGGTCTCCAACTCCAGCTTCCACTGCATGAATAAAAAAAGTCAATAAGAGTTCATAACATTTGCTTATTGGCTTATGACCAAGAATAACCAAAACATTAAAAATAAATAAATAAATAAAAAATAAAAAATAAAAAATTCCAAACGAAATGCATCAATGTAAAGAAATGATCAAAACATAACCACAATCACTTGAACATATGAAAACATAACCAAGTAACTTAATGATGAAAAGTGTTTCTTTTCTGTTACAACATTCAACTTTCAAAAACCTTATTATAACATTGTACTTTCATTTTCATCAGCATTATTAAATAAACAAAAGTATAATGCTATAAATAGATAAACTTTTGAAAATACAATTTTGTAATAGAACAATGAAATTGGTATCTAAACAATTAATAAAAGTATGTCAATATTTCTAGCATTTAGCCCTTGAAGGTTTTTAAATGGCATTAAATAAAGAAATGATCAGAGCACTAAAAAATTAGTTAGCAGCTTAAAAGCATATTTTCTTATAATAGCATATTTTTCTTAAAAATTTAACTAATTATAGTAATGTATAGTTGAATATATTTTGCAAAGTATAACGCCCTACTGAAAAATGTAATGGAAATACAATGTTATACTTAGCTTGAATTCGTCAAAATATATTGTACTAATAAGAAAACAATAATGAAATTACAATGTTGTGATAAACAGAATGAAAGTATGATGCTATAGTTTTAAGAGAACATACAGTAAGCCCTTCACAGTATGCTGACTCAAAAACATCCACTACTAGAAAAACAGCATTTTACGACGCTCATTGCGCGTCGTAAAACGCTCAGACGACGCGCAAATACACGTCAAGGAAGACCCTGTCATAAAGATAGACGACATGCATTTACGACGCGCATTTATGACACGCAATGCGTATCAAGGAAGACCCTGTCATAAAGGAAGACGACACGCATTTGCGTGTCGTAACCTTACGACGCGCATGTTTATGACACGCAATGCGTATCAAGGAAACCCTTGTCAAGAAAGGTTATGTCATAAATGAAGACGACACACATTTTTGCGTATCGTAATTTTAATTTTTTTTTTTAAAAAAAAATTATTTATAGATTTACTGATTTTCAAATAATATTTGCATTTCATGTCTCATAATAGAAAAAATATATATTTATATATTTATTAATTTTTAAATTAAATTTGCATTTAATCTCTCATAATAGAAATAAAATACCATATACAAAAAATGCAATCCATTGCATAATAATAAATAAAATTTCAAAGTCAAAAAATAAAATAAATTGCACAAATTACAATATGTCATACAAAGAATCATTCAAATGTTAAAGAAAAATAATACATTGCTAACATGCATGGGTTATACATTCCTATAAAACTAAAAAAATTATGTTTCTTACTGGAATATGTGTGTAATTGTCTCCTTCATCAACCTCCATGTCCAAAGTCGGATCTACCTTTCTAATTTGTATGTATAACAAAGACACAAATATCCTAGTGTTCATCAAATTTTATCTATCTACGATACAAAATAATCAACATGCCATTGAATTTATAACAGGGGTAAAGTCGGAAAAAACTCCAACAAACTATACCTGTTGTCCCAGATTAGTCATGAAACATTTTTTTGTCCACATTGGGTCCTTGAACAAGTATTTTTGTGGCTATAGAAGAGTCAACATTTTAAAGTTGACTAAACCGGTAAACCTGTTATTGCCAACCCATAAGGACCTAATATGAAACAATGGGCATAATTTGTTGGAGTTTTTCCCTTTATAACAAATATCAGGCAGGTGATGGAACATGATATGAAACTAACCTCCTTCAATGATGTGCTTGTAGCAGGTGCATTTGATGTCTCTATTGGCCCAGGGCAAAAAACTGTTACCATGATTCCCTTTTGGTAAAACTAAAATAATAAGTGTGATTATCATAATTATAAACTTTTTGATTTTTTATTTAATAAAAGAAAGTTAATATAATGTTGGTGTACCTCAGATCGCAAGGAATGAAAGTAGCCATTTAAAGCAAATTTTTAAGAAGAATATACTTCTTGACCTGGTGCAGGAGCCTTAACTGCAACACTACTCATCTACATATAAATATAATGGAATTGTAAATTATATAAAGTGAAAAAGGGAAAATGTAAGATGCATTACAGGAAATATAAATAATTTTGGAACAAAGATGAAGCAACACTTCCTCCTCTATTGACCAACTTTATCACAAATCATCATAAACTACACAATATCACATGTCTTGTTATAAAAAAAAGTAATAGTATGTTGCTATTTTATGCAACTTAACCGGAATCTAGTGGGCCATTAATGGTAGTGTTAGTGTTGTTGTTGTTGTTGCTGTTGTTGTTAGGAGCAATGTCGTTTGATTTACATTAAGCATCATAAGCATCAATTCATGTTCTACTTGTGGTTCCTTGGAAAGATCTTCTTTCCACCTGATGCATCAAAATTCAAGATAGAATTGAAAAGCTCAGACAAGACTTTTAATTCAGGTTGATTGTAAAACAAAGTCAGTTACTGGAAAAGGATGCAACCTCCTTTAAGACATTCTCTACAACTTGTTTCAAAACCTTCTTAGTTTCATAGATAACTATTATGGTCAACAAAGATTTCTCCTTTATCATGATTAAGATAATTAAAACAGAAATGAAGCTGATTCAAAAGAGAAAACAAGTCCAATTGATCCAGCAGAATACCTGATGATGGGTCAAAAGATTAAAAAAAAAAAAAGAAACAAAATTTACCTCCTATTCTAGTTGACTTGTTTCATGGATCCACATGAGCTCTAATGTGCTTGATCAGACTTGTTTTCAACACCTCTGGAACTCGTGGGATAAAAGTAGCCTTTGCCTCACCTATCAGTTTCTTCCTGCAAAATCATCCATCTTATATATTTATTTATTTATTAATAATAAAAAATTTACAGACACGCTACTCAGGTAATTAGGAAAACAGAATCATATATAGTAATTACTAAGAAATGGAATCAAAATATTTTAAAATTTTCAAACTAGTTAAATGAGGGAAAGTTTAAACAACAAAACAAAACAATATAACCAAAAACAAAACAGATTAATTATGCTTAAACATAACATCCCAAATATATATAGCCCTTATAATATAAAGAGACAAAAACTCAAAAGAAATACAATGGTTAAACATACAATAATTCAAAGCATTTTCAAAAAAAAGTCATGAAAATGTTTCTTTTTAATAACCAAAAACATTTTTACACTAAAGCTGGAAAACAATCACTAATATCAAAGAAACATACTCGTGAAACCAGCATATATGCTTGTTGTACCAGTTCCAACCACAACTATCAAAAGTAGTGGTTGCCAATAAGTCACAGCCAATCCCACAATACCTGATTATTAAACCAACAAGTTACAACAATCGATTCCTCTTCATGAACCTTTTTCTTGTCCAAAACCCCGAATTGTGCCTGCTCCAGCAATCGATTCTCCAAAAGATTATTAATTGGAGATTCATGTATGCTAACAATCCTGTATGATTGATGGATGTCTTTGTATTAAACCCACCTGTTTTCATAAAAACATTACACCAACCCATTAGTTATAACAAAGTTAGATGTACAAATTGGAAAAAGAGTTGAACCTTCATTATCATAACACAAAATTGAAACATAAGTTATTATAACATTCATTCCTTCCTATTGTAGCATTTCAGTTTGGAAATTAGCCAATTATAGCAACGTAATTCCAATAAAAAGAAATTTCTTTGTTATAATTGGGTGACTTGGTGAATATAAACATTACCATAATCAAAAGAGAAACCATGTTATAGCTTACATTGTAGGAAATGGAAACCCTGTCAAGTCAGAAAGATTTGTTTCTCCATGATAGCCTCTGGAATCATATTTAGTGAGGCTGATGCTGACCTTGATATATTTATCCATATTTGGGAAGAGTGAAAGCAGCAAAGCCAGATTTCTTGCCACAGCCTCATGAACTACAGTGGCAGAATCCTCTATGAGTTGTTACACAATAGATAGGATGAGGGAGTCTCGAATCTCTGGCTTCACAAATTATGCAAGCTCCCCACATGATCGAGCTACAAACAGCATGCCTTCCTCATACATGTGACTAATCTCCATAAAATTAAATAAAAATAAATAAATAAAGAAAATCACAAAACAATAAAACAATAAAATGAAATCTTTTTATCCTCACTTGCTCCTAACATTGGGGAAGCAACTCTGTTTCTATTCGCATCTCTCCAACATTCCTAGAAAGTGTGACACAGACCTGAATTAAAAAGAATATGTTATATATAAGAATGTCTAGTAGATAAAAAGGGGTGCAATTAAGGTCACCTGTGAGGCCATGTCTTCAAATCATCTTCAGTGGACTTGAAGATCAAGTCAATGAAAACTTTATTTGTGGGATTAGTGGGGAGGGAGGGGAGTCATTGTCAACACTCCATAATCTGCTTCTAGCAAATCCATGAAGTTCAAGAGAACCTACATTTGAGAACTGCATTCATCAAGCAACTTTGATCATGTCTATGATACATCCATCTTCATTAATTTTTTTTGAAATAGCCAAAAAATGACAAGGAGGCACACATAGATGCATACATACATGTATCTATATGCATACATACATGTGTTTCTATCTATATATGTATGTATACATATGCATGTATGTATAGCTATATGTGTGTACAATTGCAAACTAAAAAAACAACGGGAAAACCAAACAAGATAGCATCTATGTACATGTATTATGTGTGTACATGTATTATCTGGCACTAACCATGGAAGTCCGGTCAAAGGTGGGTCAACAGAAACAGGATACCATCTGATGGCTTTTAGTTCAGACCAAAAATCGTTTCCTGGCATTTCATCGAACAGCTTATCTACATAATCTTCATGAAATGCATCAGAGAATTTGTTAGAAGGGAAGAACAAATCCTTGTGTAGAAAATTTTCTAACTCAGGTATATGAGGATCATATAGCCTGTAAAAGATAGAAGATAAATCATCTTTACACTAGAATCAAACACTAAACGAACCTTAATGCGAAGTAGGAGAACACATACACATCCTCCTTGGTTTATCCAACTACTTTTTTGACGCTTGATTACTATTATTACTCCTCAGAATTACAGAGATCGAACGACTCGGAGAAATTTGAAGATTGTTGAGAGAAAATCGTATATTCGACGCCGATGGAGATGATCTGTATACGTTGACACGTGTAGGTGATGCAGATCGGTTCTAAAAGAACGACGACGGGCTCGACGAGAAGGTGGAGTTGGAGGAAGCAAACGAGTTTGACGATGGCGAGGTGTAGAATCTTCCGGAAGGAGAGTGAGCTCGGAGTACGGGTCTTCGGGTCGGATTCGCAATTGATTTAAAGTTAAAAAAAATTTGGGTTTTTGAGAAGATAAGGAAGGGAGAAGTAGACATGGTTATCTGATTAAGGGTTTTTGTGTTTTTAATGAGAGAATTAGTGTGAGGGCAGAGAGTAGGTGGAGACATTTTGCCGGTGGGAGATCGGAGATGACATAGGGTTTTTTTTTGGGGTATTTGAGTAAGAGAGAGAAGAAAGGTAGAAAGAAGGTAATAGAATGGCGGGCCTTTCAAACTTTTCAGAATTTCATTTCCCCCCAGAGAAGAGATCCCGCGTTTCATTAAAAAAAATATAAAGCGACATGGTTACACGACGCCCATTTTATGTTATGTGCCCTCCGTGTTTTTTTTTCTTTCAATGTGACACTTATTTTAGGGCGCGCAAAAGTACGTGACCTAAATCCTTCTAATTTTTGGAGAGATAACATTATTTTTAGGGCACACACATTTGCGTATCATAAAATACCGCGTGTCATGGTTCGCGCGTAATTAAAGGGTATTTTTCTAGTAGTGATCCATTGCAACAACTTAAGGGTAGATATGTTAAATTATGATTTAAATAACTTAATAAGTTAATAAAGAAAGATCCAACTGGACATTTGTAGATGATTCTGGAAATGGGTATTTACCTACTATGGCAAGGTCAAATGATGATAATATTGAGCTTATCAACTTCAAAGAACAATGATCATCATTTTTTCCACAAAACATAAAAAATACTTTCCATTAATATTTCAAATAACTCCAAGCCTCTAATAAAAAGGAATCTAATCATAATCCAATCGCAGCTAATATATTGGTATTAATCAAGTTAAAAATCAACAAAATCACCAATTTGGTGTGGTTTCAAAAACATAACTCACCTTTGGTGCCTTCAAGGACGAAGAGCACATGTGGATGCTCCAGGTCATGTGTATTGTCACTATTTTGAAGTGGGTTTCAATATTATGTTTACATATTTGATTCCTCAATGACAAGGGTAATTTTTGTCATTTTGCTCCTTACCAGCAGCAGTAGGGATTAGAGAAACATCCTCTTTAGATGCCTTCTTGGAATTATGTCAACTTTTATACCTGTTTCAACTTCTTCGAAACAACTTCCATCCAAGCCTACCTATATTCAATCCCAAAACCCACATCATAATGTCTTAGTGTACAAAATAAAATAGCCAAGACTAAAAACTTATAAGGAAGAACGATAACTACCATTTTCTTGATCAACATCACTGGAACCGAAGAACTCTTGACATTTGTTAAAAAAAATATACGAATAGAACATGAAACTTCTAAATATGATGTTTTCATGGCCATTTGATCTACCATAGAAAGGTATATGCTCTTATGTTCTTGCATAATCTTTTTTTGTTAGTAAAGATACATGAGGAAACATAAAAATACAACTACGATCCATATCTTTTGGAATTAGGATGCTATTTGAGCTACACCTACATTTGCCTCTGATATGTCTTATTGATGGTTGCACAGATCCAGAATAGACATCCATAATTTTGGTTTTAGACTCACACCGCCTCTCACGCCTTATAGGTGTGCAACTCCAACTCCATATTAACTTGAAATTTGACTAAAACATCATAAGATTATATTAAATATCAATCTCCCATTTTACACAGACATGCATACATAGGCATACATCATACTATACACACACATAACTTCATCAGATTCTATATATAAAGATAGAGGATTCTTACAGATCTGAAGATTGAAGAGGTGTTGAGAGTAAGCAGATGATGTGCGTTTCTTTTGGCGGTGTCGATTACTCGGCTTCAAAAAAGAATAAATCGAAATTTAACAAAATAGATGAGAGAGAGAGAGAGACTGGAGTACCTGGTGGCGGTGTCGATTACTCGGCTTCAATGACAGATTGCAGAAAGATGGATTACAAAATTAGGAAGGGTGTGAGATAATCGAGGGCATCTCGTTTGAACGGTCTTCAAAAGGTAGATACCAATGCGGAAGGAGGTAAAGTATCTTGTTTATCTAGAACGACCGAGAAAGAGAAAGATAGGGACTTAGGGCTTTCTTTAGAGAGAGGCGGATAGGGAGAGATCAGCGTTGGTGGTTTAGTGGTGGCGTGGCAAGGGAAAACGATGGTGGTGAGTAGTCTTATGGTTTTCCAATTGAGGGACGAAAATGAGAAATAATTTTAGCAAGGAGATGAACACCACTGATATAAGGGAATATGAAATAGAATTGAAAGATTTTTGCCTGGATTTAAGGCTTCAAAGCTGATTAAATAGGGACCAAAGTACTGGGTCAAAAGAACTGCCAGAAATAAGCACATATGCTTTCAAATGTTTGATCGGATAAGATTAATGCATAATGATTTCATTGTACATGATGTTGTAATAGTAGTACCTCTTAAAATTCAGTAAAATCTTGTAAATTCTTTTTAAGGTATATATATATATATATATATATATATATATATATATATATCTTTACTATCTTATAAAAGAAATCTCACTATTTTTAAAAATAGATTGAATATAATAATAATATTTTTTTAAGATGTTCAAATCATTAAGCTAATAGTACAAGTAGTCATCAATAAAATAATATTAAATTTTAACCTGTGTTTTGAATCCTTATATTTCTCAACAAATTCTATCTCCTTCCCTGAATTTCGGATAATTCAAAATTTGAAACCATCAGAAAATACATGTTGATTCAAATATCCCTCCTGCAGATGACTCTTTCTTAACAGGTTTTTATTTAATCCTTACTTGTAATTGATTTCATCATTTTTAACTTTTTGTATATTTATCTTATAAATATATTGGGTGAAGGCTTTATTATATCATGTTTGTTCCTAAAAAGGTTTTTACTATGTTTCTTTAATGTGTTGGCTTTGCAGGTTTAAAGAACTATACCAAGAGGGTCAGTTAGAGCATTGTATTATCATTAGTTTGTATATTTTGGCATCTTACTTTTGCAATAAAGAACGGTTAAACACAAGATTTGACATGATTAAGGTAGTTTGTATATTTTTCATCTTGTTTAGTCTAAAAATGAAACATTTTTCATCATTGGTCCTTATAATATCAAGTTTCATCACATGGACTTCCTGATTACGGTGATTATTGTCCATATTATAAGGTTCTATATAAATTTTTTTCAATATTTTAAGGTTTCGAGAACCTAAATCAATATGAATCCTTGAATTACATGCCATCGTTGAAAATGTTTTAATTTGTGACTAAACTTGGTTTAAAATCACAATGAACAAGTTGACACCTGAGTATTTTGGCCTTCTTAAAGGCCTATTTATCGACTTTTGAATCACAACACCTGATATTCTAAAGGTTTATTTTTATAAACTATTATTTATATATTTTAGCATTTTACTTAGTAGGACATTAAATTAATAAAGAAATTAAGGAAAACGAAAAAAAAAAAAGAGGACAATAAACAGTACAAGTGGTTTGGGTATGTATAAATGGAAGTAATAACCATTTAGGGGATGTTTGGCAAAAAAACTTATTGCTTATTAGTTTATTAGCTTATAAGTTAATAAGTAAGTGTAGGGTAATTTATGAAAAAAACGTCGTATTAGAGGTTCCCCACCGGAATAAGTTATTTTAATCCAAATACTCTTTTAACTTATAGTGATGTGGAACCTAATAAGTTGTTTTAAAAAAAGCTTAGCCAAACACCCCCTTAATATGGTATGGTAATGCTCTTGAAAAATAGATGTTATTTAATATTCATTTCTCAAAGTGAACGCAAACTGGTTTTAATTCTAAAGAGATCAAATTATTCGCCGCCCGCCGCTTTGCGCGGGTAGACGACTACTCTATATATATATATATATATATATATATAATATATATATATATATATATATATATATATATATATAGGGAAATCTGCGAAAAAGTCCAAATATTTTAGGCCAGTTTACGATTTAGTCCCAAATTAAATTTTGTTTACAAAAAAGGACAGATTACCGGCTAAAACTTTGGATTAACCCTTTGTGGCCGGTTTCACAGATTTAGCTGGTATCTCGTCTTTTTTCGTTAATTAATACAAATTTTGGGGCTTTTTCATTAATTAATAAAAAATTTAGGGCTTTTTCACTATTTATTACCAATAAACCAAAGTATTTGGACTTTTCTGAAGATTACCTTTAAACTAATATATATTATATGATCTAATTTAATATGTACTATTCCATATCTTCTTTCTTATGCTCTTTTAGGCTCACCGTGTGTTTTTATCGGTGTCGTCAAACCCAACAACAAAAATCTCACTCACAACGCTTGTTAACTCCATCAATTTTCTAAAATTATCCATTCACAACTCTATGATCATCTTTCAATCTCCAAATAAAGAACGGAGAAAATCCTTGCTGATTACGTGGATGTCCCTATTGATGGGTTTTGGTCATAAGAACATCATATGTGCTCGTACAAACCCTAATGCTTGGATCTAGGTTTCTCTATTGTACATGCAATTTATCCAAGACTATAAACCCTAGATATGGCATATGATAATCAATATAAACATAATAATGGGTTTAAGATATTACCTTGATTGTTATGTAGCAATAACAATCACAATTCCTTCTTGTAATGACTTTAGAAAGCTTAGAGTCATAAATGTCACTCCTCTAATGGTTCACAAACACCAAGAGCAAGAGGATGAAGAGGAGAAGAGAAGGAAGCTGCCTAAAACTATCCAAAACCCTAGAAGGAAGCTTGTCCACGTTTTTGAGGCATCAGGGCTCTTTAAATAGTAAGGCTATTAGGGTTATCTAACAAGGAAACCCTAATTTGGATTCTTAATCCCTAAGCAACCCATGGACTCCTTTCCTTAAAGGCCTTGGACGATTTCTTATGGGTTTCCCCATAGAATTCGTCCAACCTTATAATATAAGGTAATCCATAGCCCAATTGCAATTATCTTATAATTACAATTCCAATCCCTTAAGTTTAATTAATCTCTTTTAGTCACAAACTTAATTCTTATTAATTCTTGACTAATATTAATTAAACAATATGATTTCTCCTTTAATATATTATTCCCATAATATATTAATAAATCATATTTAATCCTTTCTCTCCATAATTCATCCTATCAAGTTGCTTTGGTGAAGGCAACCCAAAAGGACCATGCACCATCGGGTCAAGTACATACCAAAATAGTTATGGACTTAGACACTAATCCAACAGTCTCCCACTTGGATAAATCTAATAACTATTCCGCGTATGACTTCAAATCCTGATATGCAATCGTAGCTTTCCAAAGCCGCTGTCAACTCGGATCCTATCAGATACGCGTGTCCTTTAGATAAGGGATCATATATTCCTCCATTCTAGATATTGTATATACATGATTTCTAATCATTCTCTCTATACTATTTCCCGACTTCCGATTTATGATGAATGACTAATGGAACAAATCAAATTAGCCCTAGCCCGGCCGAGCATTTACGTTTGTCATCACTAAATCATCGAGGGGCCCAAAGATATCGCTTTTATCACACTTTGGATAAAAGGAACGGATAAACTTTGACGTAATGTTCGCTTGCACTTACTCACCAAATCACACACAACAATATGTTTTATAACACCAAGTTACTGGTGCGTTTACATATCATCAATGTGCAACCCACTCGCAAGATACAACTCACACATATCGGTTTCAAGAATATAAGATGTTATCGTCTCACCAATCACTCGTGATAAAATCCATGAAGTGATCCAAGTGAGCGTGGGTTTAATCCAATGCTCAAATCATATTCATAAGCACTCATGAACGTTGCAGCAAACATTTTCTTATGTCTAATGCTCTTTAGACAATCCACACACAAATTCATGACAGTCTTCATTCATACCTACTTCCAACATATGAACGACTGTGGCCCGTTCGAATAATTTGACTGTTCTCAACCAATTAAATTATTCAGGATGTCAAAACATGCAAAGTGAAACACAAGAATAATACTAATCTCATATGGCCTCAAACCTTTGAGTATAAATAAAACACCTTTTATTCATCACCATATCGATTACTCATTATTTGTTGTTTCGGGTAATCAACTTTTTACTTGAATTACAACACTTGTCCCATGCTCTCAGCATGCACACAATGTTTACCTATGGTTCTTACTTTGTGAAATAGATCAAATGAACACATTTCCAATCATACTCATTTCACAACTCCAAATCCTTTTTCATAAGTGATAGAATATCAAATTCTTGCCACTTATAGAATAAGTTAGATTCTAACATTTTTATGCAATGATCCTTTCGTAATGTCACTGCACCAAAGTCACAATGACTATT